CAGGACTGCCATAATAGGTTGCTCTTGAGCAAATGTACCCATCATCCCCATAACAAAGGGATGCAACAAATATCAAATATACAATGTTGTACTTTGTGAACATAAGGTTGTACTCATGCTTGATACCCATATTTTTTGCAAACAAACAAAAATTAGATGAAAAAATACAATGAAATAAGAGGAAAGAAATAAGAAAATGTCTCTATGCAAAATATTAGAAACAACCTAGAAAATTAGGAATTGGTGTGCAATATAAGTGACTTGGAACATCTTATTTATAGCTCAAAATTTTGAACCACCACACACTATTGCACTTATATTATAATAATTTTAATTCAATATTTTTTTTTTTTAAAAAAAATATATATATTTGCCAATTTGAGGAGTGGAAGTGAATATCATCAAACAGCTGTCCTGGAAAAGTAGAACACTTTCATTGACTCTTTATTTATTAGAAACTTATAGCTAGTGCATCACTAATCATTTTATTTTATTTTATTTTATTTTTTATTTTTATTTTTTTTTTTGCGTGGATAAACTATAAAGGGAGATGAAAAACAGTAGAATTAAAATAATTTAAATAATTTTGAGTTTGTAAATGGAAATGAAATTTAATGAATAAAATTGATGAGGCATATAAAAAATAATAAAATTATTAATTAATTAGATTGATAGTTAGTAAATGAACAGAAAATTTTACTGAAATGTGTAATTGAGATTTGTACATAAAAACATGACATAAAAAATTAATGATAATATTGGGCGCTAACTACAATAGAGAGAATTTCCTCTAGATCATAATAAAAAACTAAAGCCTAACAAAGCATAAGTACTGTAATTAACCCGGCTCATTTGGTTGGTTGGATTGCTTAGGATATATGGTTGGATAATTTTATCCCGATTTGAATCCATGATCAAATTTGTGACGTCAACCTTATTATCCCAGGATTCAAGGGCGAAATTGCAAATTAGGTGCAATACCTAACATTGTTAGTTTTTATCCAAAATTTTATCATTTGAGGCAAACATCAGATGAAAGTAGTTCATATGATGATACAAACATGGTGGATTAAATTTAAACCACTCTTTGACAACTTTGGGGCATGTAGCAATAATGTTATTTTTTTAATTTGAATCAATAGTTATGTTTTTTTTTAATGTACAGAATGATAGAAGTTGATCGAGCGCGCACTTCTTGTGAAATCAACATTTTTCAATAATAATAATAATAAAAAAAAAAAAAAAAAAAACTTCTTGTAACAAAGAAAGCATTCTTTTTTTGAGTTTGAATAAATTCAAGAAGCTATACACTTTCTATGTTAGCTCACATTTTTTAGACTATAAACACTACTAAAAAACTCTTACATTCTAACGGAAATTTTCTGTTGGAATTCTTTATATTTTTCGTTGGAATAGATATTCCAACAGATATTCCTACGTATAAAAATTCGTGGGAAAAATGGCCGTTGGAATAGCTAAAATCCAACGGAAAGTTCTATGGAAATAAATTCCTACAACTATTCCAACGGAAAAGATCCGTTGAAATTCCTCAACCATCCACCACTTATTCCAACATAAAATTAAGTTTGTTGAAATATTCATTAGAATTTCCAACGAAAATTTTTGTCGTTGGAATTGAAGTGTTTTCTTGAATAAAATAAAATATAGAGATGCCTAAATTTAGAGAGGTGAACATATGGAGGAGCACTATGTGTGCAAAGTTCATTTTCATGTCAACTCCACTGTGTAAATGAAATTAATTAGGTGGCAATTGCATTTGTCCTTTTTGGTTGTTTGTGCTTGTCAATTCCTCTAATTCTCAAGGCACAACTCATCTTTTTTTCCTTAGTTTCAGATGTGTGTACAAGTGTAGCACTATGAATGCATGCACACAGTACACTTATCAATGAGTTTTCATAATTGGACATATCATTATTGAGAAGGTGACCAATTTGTAGTAACCATCATTTTTATTTTTATTATCCATGAAAATTACCAACTACCATATTCCAAAAAAGTGCTAGAAACAATTTTAAAATAAATTAGGGTGTGATTGAATATTAATTCAATTTAAAAATACCAATCAAAACTCAAACTTAACTCCACTTCATTATACTCAATATTATTTATATGGTTAAATAATATTAATATATCATTATTACACATTACATCAACTTTATTTAACTATTTATCTATACATAATTTTAATTAACCATCCCTTTATCAAGCAATTTATGCCAGAGAAGTTCAGTCAAATTACTTGCATGCATCTCTAACCATTTAGTAAAAACATATGTAAATAACTAAAATTACGTAAAAAAAAAAAAAAAAAAA